TCCCATTGTCAGAATGTAGCTCCCCTGTGCTATTTTCTATAAATATTTTCATGGTAATTTTTCTGATGAGCTTTGCTCTTTGGTACATTGACTTTACAAATTTAATCACAGTACCAGATTGATAGCTAGGTTTCATCATTTTACAGTTGAAATTGCTAGATGTAATCAAATAAATTCTATGCCAAGTTTTTTTTTCTCTCCTACTGCTCACTTGTAGAACTCTTGTTTTCCAGTCAACTTTGATCTTCAAAAATGCAATATCATTGTCCTCTATCTCCTTTAAACCTATTGTTTTATTGTCCTCCATCTTTAATGTTTTTTCTTGTACTCTTTCACATTCAGTAACCCCTTGCATCTTAGTGGCTTTATTGCCTTGTTTGATTAAAGAAATGATTAAAAAAATAAAAATAATTTTCAGTCTAAATTTCACTCCAGCATCATTTAAATTTATAAGAATTAATTAGTAAAATCAACTTTAATGTTATAAGTCTAATAAAAATAGAACTTGGATTGGTTGATGTAAACTCTGTGAAATTTGCTGGCGGCAAACATTATTTGAATTCCTCTTGAAAATAAAGAATGTCTTGAAAGCTTCTTATTATTCCCAGGAACATTATGCTTCAAGGCATCATATTCTTGCTAATGTAATCATTTGTTTATCAAGTTCTAAGATTTGTTCATTTCCTAAATTGTGTGTGTGTGTGTTACAAGAACTAATGTTTTTTTGGTTTTTTTTTTCTTGCTTCATATTTTCTAGTAAATAATTTTTTTTTCTCCAAGTAAAACAGTTAATGTCAAATGTAATTTTTCGTATAAAAAATGCCCTGCTTGATCATGACATTTTACATTGTATCTCCTTATGAATCTTTATATAAGGAAGATTATACTTTGCAGTTCTTGAATTCCTGATAGAATAAAATTAGTCTCTGTGCCTTTTTATCTTTTTATCAATGACATGGTGTTATTACTCACAGTATATCTGTTCTTTCTTATAAGAAAAAAAACCCAGACATTTTATATTGACTTTATTCTCAGCTGCAGGCCTTAAAAAATTCAATTGGTTACTTTGCCATTTTTAACAGAAAAATTTCTTTATTACAAGTAGAAGATGAAAATTTCTGGGACTAGGACTTCTCATTATTTATATTCAATCTAATGTCCTCATTTTTGTTGTTGTCATAACATTTCAGCCATTATTCCCTCCAGTCTTCTTCAGTTGTCTGTTAATCCAGATAACTTTTCAGGAATTTTGTTTATTTAATCTCTGTGGTTAGTGTTCTTGTTCCACTGCCTGCATCTAGTGATAGTCTTTTTTTAAATACTGCTCAGTTATTGCTAGTCTTGTTTCCACTGAGATTGAGTCTGTACTACCCAACCCAGAGAGTGAACTCACAATTACTATACTATTGCTGCAAATTTGGACTTGGTGGAAACAAGGCTCACAATAACTGAGTAATACTGAACAAGTTAAGATATCCTGAGACATGGACAGTGGAGTAAGAACAAACTAAATCTAGATTAAATAAAAAGTTTAGTTCAAAATTCCCTGAAAGTTATACAAACTAACAAAAACTTAAAAAAGGCTGGAGGACACAACACCTGAAACATTGATCACGACAAAGATGGCATTAATCTGACTGTAAATTGTGGCAATATTATAAGATTGTGTATTTTAGAAGCTAGCAGAGATTCAGTAAATTACTGAAACAATTTTTTTTTTTTCTTAACAAGAGAGGGAATGTAGAGTGAAGGATAATGTAACAAAGACTTGTTTTGTTTTTTTTGTTTTAAAAATGGACATTCGTTGATGCATGAAAGCAACCCAGATATTTTGATGATCATGTTAACTGTTCAAAGGTATCACTTTAGATCAAATCAGAGTAACAAGTAATTTTTTTCTGAATCAAAGATACCTGGAACTTGTGTGTGTGAGTTTTCACTGATATAATGGTGCTTAAAGAGAAAGTAGATTTCCCATTTTTCTTGCCACATTCAGTAAGTTCGGATGAACTGGTGGAGATAATGGAAAAAGGACACTGCCACTTTTTGGACCATGTGATTAGGTGAGCCAATTAGATTGGATTACTTGAAGTTAGAGTTAATTTTTAAGATCTGTGTTTGCAGATTGTAGTCATGCTAAAAACATTTGCTGGGTGCTGCTGTCATTTTTTATGAAGGAACATCCAGAAATCAGTTAAGTGATATTGTGAAGTTGTGAGAAAGTACCAAAGTCAAACCCAGACTAGTTATACTAGTTGTTAGCTTGTTTATTCCAAGGAAGAATCAGTTGTAAAAATCCACAATCCCTCCTGTCACCAGAATAAAAACTTAAGATTTGCAGCACTAACAAAATTGTATTTCTAATGACAATATTCTTCTTTTATGTGCTGTGTCTCTTTCACAATTTCTTGTCATTTATATCTCTTAATAAATGTAATCTTTTTGTTTCTCTCCTAAACTTAGTTTCACCATCCATTTACTCAAGTTCACTAGGTAGGTTATGCATTGTTTTACTCTGTTCCACCTCTATTCAAGCTGTCCTGTGAATATAAAATTTTCCAAGTTTTCATTACTCATTATGTGTCCTAGAAATTTCAACTGTTTCTGATGTTAAATATAAGTATTCTTTTTGTTTCCATTTTCTTTAAAATGTTGTTGTTGCTCATGTGTTTGGTCCATATTATTCTCAGCATCCTTCTGTAGAACCATATTTCTGTTGCTTAAAGTCTTTTCATCTGTGAGGAGATTATCTAGTATTCACTGCTATATAGAAGGACAGATATTATGTAATAGTTCAGTACTCTTTTCTTTGTTTCTAATGATATTTTCCTGTTTCTTAATACTTTGTATAGCTTTTGGAAGGCATCTTTTGCTATACCAATACATCTTCAGATTTCTGTAGTGTCACACTTTCTGTCATCTGTTAAAACACTTCCCAGATATTTAAATTGTGATTTGCATGTTGGGTTGTTCCTTTTGCTGACAGCCATGCATTCTATCTTCTTCCAGGTTATATTTAATCCTTTCTTCTAGCTTTTTTTTCACTACCTTCTGTAGGAGTTCTTTTAGTTTCCTTTCTGTGGCTGCTATCAACACTGTCATCTACATATTTTATATTAAAATTAATTAATCTTGGTAGGAATTCTAATTCTCTTAGAATAGTCTCACTATATACAGGGTGCTATTTATATTTTTAATTTTGCACATGTACATTGTTTGTTTTTTATTTTGTCAACTGCGCAGTATAGTAGGAGTCATTTCAGAGTGTTTGGGTGTCAATCTGAGGACAGTGCAGAGAATTCAGAAAGAATTAGAGGAGTCTAATTGATTAGCAAGGTGCGGCAGCTTGAAAAACTCACTCTGATCATTCTGCTAAGAAAAGAACTCCCGAATTTGTTGGTGAGATCCAGGCCATGATTGAAAATGATCCCTCCAAGTCAATTGGGTCCATAGCCAGGGAGGTAGTGCTGTCCTGGATCAAGAGGATGGCTGCTGGAAGACCCTATGTCTGGCAACAGGACTTTGCATCATGCCACTCAAGCAGGAGAACATAGCCATGGCTGTTAAACAATTTCTGTGACCACATCAGCTTTTACATCTGGCCACCTAACTCCCCCAGACTGCAACCCCCTTGATTATTATGTGTGGGGTGCAGTTGAGTGAGAGACCAACAAAACTCCTTGTAAGACCAAAGATGAACTAAAGACAAGGATTATGGTAGCATTCATCAACTTAAACAAGAAAACTGTCCAAATGAGCTGCAGTAGATTCTGAAGTCATCTGGAGGCCATGGTTGAAGCCAATGTTGATTTTATTGAATAAATTTACTTTTTAGTAGTTCAAGACAATTTTGAGTAATTTTGGTAAATATATCTGTTAAAATGAGATGTCAGTGTTATTTTCATTTTTGCATAATTTAGTTGACAAATTATCCATTACACTATGTAGGCTGAATATGTCTGAGAAGTCACCTCATTGTCTTATACATTCCTTTCTATTTTTGTATATTTACTGAATTCATAAAAAAAAAAAAAAAATGAAAATATTAGTTTTGTTAGTTGTTGCCAAGTGAGTTGAACCAATCATTTTGATGAAGATACAACTGGATGATATTAACCTAAACTTTCATCCTGTGATGCTTCGGGCTATCAGTTACCATGGGACCTGTTTTGACCCAAGACATGCTTCCTCTTCATACTTAAATGCAGAGGAGGTCCTTGACTTATAACAGTTCCATTTCTACAAATCATTATAATGCTATTTTCTGTGAACAAGCACCTGCGTCACTCATCTAAGCTAGGACATAATACAGAGTGGGGGTAATCACCACACTATTTCTATTCCATAATACTTGTTACATTTAATATATAAAATATATATGTAATAACTATTATGGGACAGATGTACTACTTTTTATTTAATTTGATTTTATTACATTTTTTTTTATTTGTAGATATACATTACTTAGAATTGAAGTGCATGTTCTTTTTTCCTTTTTTCTCTTTTATTCTCTCTCTCTCACGTTTATTCTCTCGCTTTTATTCTCTTTCTCTTGCTTTTATTCTCTTTCTCTTGCTTTTATTCTCTTTCTCTTGCTTTTATTCTCTCTCTATCACTTTTATTCTCTCTCTATCACTTTTATCCTCTTTTATCGCTCTCTCTCTCTATTTTATTCTCTTTTATTGCTCTCTCTCTCTCTCTCTATTTTATTCTCTTTTATTGCTCTCTCTCTCTCTCTATTTTATTCTCTTTTATTGCTCTCTCTCTCTATTTTATTCTCTTTTATTGCTCTCTCTATTTTATTCTCTTTTATTGCTCTCTCTCTCTCTCTATTCTCTTTTATTTTTATTCTCTTTTATTCTCTTTTATTCTCTCTATTTTCTTCTCTTTTATTCTCTCTCTATTTTCTCTTCTCTATTTTATTCTCTTTTATTGCTCTCTCTCTCTCTCTATTTTATTCTCTTTTAAGGAAATATTAATAATAATTATTCTCATTGCAGGTGCATTGCAAGATTTTGATACCCATCCAGGTTGTGGCTATGCCACATCAGGTATAGGTTCAAATGAAGAAGAAGCAAGAGTTGGAGGACTGGGATCTGCTGCATCAGATTCTTCAATGGTAATAGAAATTAAAATGATCTTTTTTGATTGTTGTAACAAGTATTGTGACAAGTCCTCATTGACTAAAATGGAAATTACATGAAACAAAAATGTTCTTGCCTTCACACTTTTTTTGATTTGTAGTATTTTTATTTTTGTGTCTAAGTACATCAATAATCTTATTACTAAAACATAAAGCAAACATCTTTAATTTTAGTTAATTGTATTTTCATGTAATTAGGAAGTATTTTATAATCTGTTTGAAATACACACCCAAATTATTTCCTGTAGAGTTTTCAAATTTGGTGTAGATGGAGTAATGGATAGCAGTTTGGTATGAGAATTTGAAGTGCTGTGTTCAAATTCCACTCTGATTCATTACAGTCAGTTACATGCAAACAACCTTGGGAAAGATATAACTCCACCTCCGAGTGTCCAGTTATGGATTAAATAGTAGGATTTCTATCAGGAAAAAGTCATTGTTACTCTCAAAACTAATTAATGCAATATTCACATGCAAAAAAAAAAAAAATCAAAAAAAATCTTTCAATCCAAGAAATGTTTCAGTTGCCAAAAAGTATTTCTTTATTTTGTGATATTGCTTTTACAATTTTCTCACCAAAATGTATTTTCTATTTCATTGTTTTATCTTTCATTGGAAATTTATTAGGAGCAAATGAAATCTATTTTGATTTTCTGGCTGACAGTGAAAAAAAAAGGCACTGAATAATTATAATAAACTCTTTTTAATTAATGAGTTTTAAATAATGGATTAAATTCAACAAAATGATTAAATCAGGAACAATTAGGAAATTTTTATAGTTGACATGTTTCATTATTTAACTTCATCAGAAATATTTTGGAAGTGGAATAATGCAGAGTTATTTACACTATTTAAAATAGGACACTTTGTCTTCATCTCTGTTGTTGTTATAACATTTTGGTTGTTGTGCCCTCCAACCTTCATCAGGTGTATATTGATATGGGTAACCTTCAGGGAATTCCAAACTGAATCCTTCATTTTATCTACAGGTAGACAGTTCTCATTTCATGTAGGTTACACTGATTGATATACACCTGATGAAGGCAGGAAGGCACATCAACCAAGACGTAATAACAACAAAGATTAGGACAAAAGTTCAAATGTAAATAGTATAATAACTCAGAAATTCAGATAGGAATAATGCTAAATATTTTGATTTTTGAATTTTACTTCCCAAAATTTCTGAAGCTGAAAGAAAAAATAACAAAACATTAAATTTATAAAATTTTCTTATGATTGTTCTTCATTTAACTCTTTAGCATTCAATCTATCCAAGCTCACTTCGTAAATATTTGGTCTGAATGTTCAACCTGCCATATTCACTCCATGTATACTCCGCCATATTATATGACAACCTCATCGCAAATAATGCAATCATGAAAACAGTAAGACTTTGGCTACAAGCAATATGACTCAAACCTGACATTTATGGGTGTGTGTTGAATGCTAAAGGGTTAATCATTTTGTTGGATTTAATCCATATTGTCAACTCTTCACTTAAAAAGAAAGATGTGATTAAATAAAGAACAAATGTTAAATTTATGAAGTTTTCCCACTTGTTCCCTATTTAATCAAAATTTTAATTGTAAAATATACATTTCATTTGTTTCCCTTTGATAAAAGATGTTGATCAAATCCAATTATGTTTCATTTCATTAAATAGGCCTGTTCATTTTCAATACTGAGGAATAAATTCTCTGTTATTATTGAACTCTTAACAGATGAGTGTAATTCAGCTAGTGTTTAATAATCTTCATTCAACCAATGTTATTGCTGGTTTAATTCCTGGGAAATAGCAAAATGTATGTTTTTGTTTTTTTTTTTTATTTTTTTTTTTTTTAAATATTTTTAAAAAATTTATTTTTTTAATTTAAAAAAATGTTTTTTAATCATTTCACCCCAAGCAAGGCAACAAAGCCACTAACACACAGGGTATTACTGAGTTTGAAAGAATATAAGAAAAACCTTATTAATGAGTGAGAATGATAAAAGAACAGAAATTAAGACATAAAATAACGATTAACATTGCATTTACGTTTTTTTTTTTTTTGATATTTAATATCAAACTCGACTGGAAAGCAAGAAGCTGGAAGAGAGTCCTATAAGGGAAAAGTGCGAGAAAACTGTTAGCATAGAACTTATGGTTACATCTAATCATTTCAATTGTAAAATGAGATTTTGCTGCCAATCTAGTACTGCACTTAAATTCATTGAGTCTAGGTATGATAGTGGAAAGTTCATCAGAACAATTACCACGAAAGTATTTAGAGAAAAGGCATAGACTTTATCTGTTTTATAGAAATTAATCACAAAGATAATTGTTTAGTTGGCCTTGGCTCTTGTCTTGAAATTATTATTGAAATAAATTTTGTTTGTGAAAATAAAAAAAACAAATAGCAATAAACTGAATACGGAACATTATTTCAAATGACTGAAATGCTTTAAAACTAATCAATAGATCTAACTACCACAAAGAAGAAATAAATTGATAATTTTTTTGATTGATTGATTAATGTTTTTGTATTATGCTTGTAAAAAAAAATGTTCACTCATATTTGAAGAATAAATGGTAATTTTTTATTGAAAAATGAAAAAGATGAGTGATTGTAATATTTTTATTCATTTTTGCATTTTACTTACAAATGTTTGTTTCAAAAATTAATTTATTTATACACACACACACACACACACGGCTTTGAGAATGACAGAATGCATTTTTTTTAAAAGGATCTTTTTTGTCCAACACTTCTTCAGAAAGATTTGTTGGAACAATAATCAAAACTGAAATTGAAAAAAGTAGACGTGGGGGTAAATAAGGAGCCATGACTTATTTTTTTTTTTTTTTACTAATAAATTTATTTTAGTTGTGGCTCCTTATTTACCCCCCTTTTTTTCTTTTAGTTTTGCCACTTTGATTATTGTTGTTTCAACAAATCCTTCTTTCTGAAGAAATGTTGGATGAAAAAGGTCCCTTTTAAAAGAATGTGTTTTGTCATTTTCAAAGCCATATTTAAATTCTGTGGTACAAAATTATATATTCAAGCAGGTTTGGTTAAATAATTTAGATGTATTATGTCTATTTATTTTAGCTTTAATCCTTTCAAGTCCACAAATCAATTTCTTGATGGCTGTAGAAAATTGATTAAGAAAAATTTCAAAGTTTTTTTTCAAATAATTTTTATTTTCCCCAAGTACTTTTTAATTTCACCTGAGACCATCTTCAGGGGGTTAAAATATCTGTGGATGTTTCTACAGTAGCTCCATAAATTTGAAATATTTTACAGCGTTCAAAATTCAAATTGAAAATTTTTATCTATACAAGGGAGGTAACTTTTGTAATTTTTATTTTAATATTTAAAAATGAAAAAGATTTTTAATTTAGTATTTTTTATAAAACTTTGCTGCTACAAACATTTAAGAACTTTGTTGCTATACTCATAGTTGACTTTATTTTTTGGGTGCAATTCTCTTATGTAAAAGGATTCCAAAATTTTAAGTTTTTGCTTATTATTTTGATGAAATACTAGTGTATTTTTGCGTAATATCTGTCCAAACTGTGAATGTGGACATGAGTATTCCTTCAAATGTTCTGAGATTGAACTATGTTCATTCAAGTGAAACGTAAGCTGTCTTGTCAACGTTGTAGTTGTAAAACCCAAAAATGAATTTGTAGACGTGAAAGGATTAAAGCTAAAATAAATATGCATAATGTCTAAATTATTTAACCAAAACTGCTTGAATGAAAATATGATGCGTAAGTGTGTGTGTGTGTGTGTATATATATATATATATATATATATATAAAGTTTGTCACAGATGTGTGTACGTGTAAGGTGTTGTGATCATTTGTCCTTTTCTTGATTTTTCTTTTTTTTTTTCTCCCCTACTTTACACTAGCCCCTTAGCTTTTTCTCTTTTGTTTTCCATTTCCCCTTTTCTTTCAACTGTAGCCATTTGTGGCCAATTATTATGTCCTCTAGATATGCCACTGTTTAATTTTCCTATAAGGAGTTTTAGTTCTTACCTGATCAAAACATCACACTTAACAAAATTCATTGTGTGTGTCTGGTTTGGACAAATTTCTTTATTCTTTCTCATATTTTTTTTTCTTTTCTAAAACATTTTGGCCGAATACTCTTTCGTCTTCCTTGAATATCTGTTGTGTTCTGGAATATCAATGATGTGAATGAACATAAAGAACAGACATAAAGAATATAGTCTGGACTAATGAGAAGTTTCTATCAGATTCCATTTTCAGTAGTAACAATAAAAAGCTAAAATGATAGAAGAAATCTCTATCTATAAAAGGCAGGATGTGTGTGTGTGTGTGTGTGTATAATGAATGCACGACTGCAATTTTTGATGGATTTGCACCAAAATTTACATGCACATGCTCCAAGTTAGCGGAAAGGCCAAGACCAACTTTGCATTTCCCAACTCCCATTGATAGTGGAAATAATCGATTTTTTTCATGCTTCTACGGCAGTTTTCATGTAGTTTGTGGCTATTTTCTACTGGCCAGAGTGAGAGACTATAGATGGCTGCCACGAATAGGCAGGAAGATTCTATTGGCCAGTGTGATTGCCAACAGCTGACTGACACGAATGTTAACTAGCATGCTAGCATGCAAAAAAAAAAATCGATAGCTGCATTCGTCACAAGTGGGTAAAAATTTAAATCTGCACGGCACTTTACTCCAATTGACTCATTTGCTTTGCTTAAACTCAACGTTGATTCTGATTCATGCAGAACTGGGTTGGGTGTGAAAAAAGTATTTGTTGTTAACATTTTTTTTTCATTCAGTTTTTCCAGTTACGAGTCCTTTTTTAAAGCTGATCGTTTTGTGTTCATTTTGTTTAGTTCTTCTTTTGTAACAGATTTAATGTTTAGTATAGAGCTTAGAAAAAATTTGCAGTGTGATATAGGCAAGAAGTAAGGCATGTAGCAACATCAGCATGGCAAAGGGCATCCTTTTA